ATTATTTTATTATGGTAATTGTCAAACAGGTATTTACACCAATTCCTATCAGAATACTTTAAAGCTGCCTCTCTTAAAATCAATAAACAAACAAACAAAGGTTTGGGACCAGTTCAGATTCCAGCATGCTAAAATTGCCAGGAGAATGTGGAATTAACTCTGACATGAACTCCATTATTCTATTTCAGTCTATATAAGAATATAAAATCTTTCCTGGATCGTATCAAAAGGCCATTTAGTTCAGCATCCTGTTCCTAACAATAAACAATCAAATGCCTCTGGGAAACACACAAGCAAGGCATGAAAACAAAACAAACAGAACCAAAGTAGCTTTGTAACTAAATCTGTCCTACACAGATGTGCCAGGTGGTAGATTCAAATTTAAATTTTGCAAACGAAGTCTATTGATCTACTTGCACTCCTTGGGTTATTTTTAGGGAGAATCAAGCAATGATTTCTCAAGGCAATGACCATCTGCAGACTCTATAAGCCAGGGATGTCAAACTCAATTTCATTGAGGGCCACATCAGGGTTGTGTTTGACCTTGGGGGGGTTGGGGTGGGCGTGGCCAGGGTGGGCATGGCCAGTTCAATGTCACTCGTGTCAGGGGCGCCTATGGTGGCCCGCGATGCTTCTGTTGTGGCCCCGCCCTCTGAGCCTGTCCCATCGGAGGAAGAAAGCTCCGAGCATGAGGAAGAGGAGTCAGCCAGGCCTCCCTCTCCAGGCCTCTCCCCTCTGGCACTGTCTCAGGTGCCGGCCGAGGGAGAGGAGATTAGCAGGGAGACAAGTGTCTCGGATGAGAGTGAAGGAGAGACGTCATTCCTGGACGCACGCCTCCGAAGGCGTGATAAACGATTGCAGCAGCTCAGGAGGCGTGCTAGGGATTAGAACTGAGTCACTGGACCACACCCCAGAGACTATATAATAAAGGTTGGTGGCCAGTGAACCCTGTGACGAACAAAAGTAAACCTTGGATAGCCACTAAAGCCTCGTCCGAAACTGCTGAGAGGAATATTAATTTCTGTTGGACTCTTGTACGCTGAGTATATTATCTTTCTGTTTTCTGTGGAAATAAAAGCACTTGGCAGACGGTGTGTATATCGCTGCAAAGTTGGAGATAAAGACCTGGGTGTGTTCCAAGTGCTTCCTTAACCCTCGGCTGGCTGTGTTTGTGTGTGTGTGTGGACGGGGACAGATCAGCTTCTGCCACTTGGCCCTCCCGAGCTCCGTTTTCGCTGGCAGAGGGTTGCAAGAGGCCATGACAGGCGAAAACGGAGCTCGAGAGCCCCTTTTCGCTGGCAGAAGCACAGCAGGCCGGTTCTTTGCTGTTTCCAGGGCGGCCCTGCAGGCCAGATCTAAATACCCCGCGGGCCAGATCCGGCCCCGGGCCTCGAGTTTGACACCCTTGCTATAAGCTAGATAGGTTTGAACTGTTATGTGCTAATTGTGCATTAGTTTGTTAAAACAAGTTGTAGGCCACCTCTTGAGCAGCTGTAGGCCACTTTGAAGCAGTCTCCGCTGAAAGTCCAAGAAGACAAGAGTCAACTGAAGTTTAAGGGAAATAAGACATCTAACTTCACAGTTACATTAATAAGTTATTTACTTTGGTGCACAAACTCTAGCTATTTCCATTACAGAAAGTTGCTTGAATATAGCCTTAAAATCCTTAACGGCATTATAGATAAAAAACTAGGTTTCAGATCAGATTCTTGGATTTCTTATCTCTTGCCCATAAACAATAGACTACGCATCCCTCTTGTTCATTCCTATGCTCTTAGCAAAGGAAGTGTTATCTATGAAAGAATTTTATCTTCTTCACTCTAAGAAATGTTTTTCTTAACAGCCTCATGTTAAATACTTCGTTGAAAAGTTTTCCTGAAGTAGCTGTGTATTACGAGGTTAGTGCAATTACAGTAGTGTGAAGTTATTCGGACGATATAATACTGAAATCACAAATCTGTGCAATTTCCCCCCCCCCCACCCCCTTACGATACAAATTAACTTAACATCTCCAAAAATGTATGGATGAGAATTTGTCTACTATGGAGGATTATACACTTCTCCAATTTTGCAATGTAGTTCAGGGGGTTTTAAGGCTGGATTTAAAAACATGGGTATTAAAAATGTTACTTCAGGGTGAACCATATTTAGAAATGCATCCTATGACATAAAATTCACTCAAAAATGGATACTTTTGTGAGGAATTATCCTCAACATGAGGGACGCAGTGGCTCAGTGGCTAAGACGCTGAGCTTGTCGATCAAAAGGTCGGCAGTTCAGCTGTTCGAATCCTTAGTGCTGCGTAATGGGGTGAACTCCCGTTACTTGTCCCAGCTTCTGCCAACCTAGCAGTTTGAAAGGACATAAAAAATGCAAGTAGAAAAATAGGGATCACCTTTGGTGGGAAGATAACAGCGTTTCGTGCGCCTTTGGCGTTTAGTCATGCCGGTCACATGACCACGGAGACGTCTTCGGACAGCGCTGGCTCTTTGGCTTTGAAATGGAGATGAGCAGCGCCCCCTAGAGTCGGGAATGATTAGCCCTTATGTGTGAGGGGAACCTTTACCTTTTTATGCTCAAGATGGTTAATGCCCTTCATTCAACAGCATACTTAGCATCTCTGACACCCTCCCCTCTGCTTCTCTGCTGCTGTGAGCCAGTTTGGTATAACGGTTAAAAAGGCACCAGACTGGAAACTCAGAGAATGTGAGTTCTAATCCCACTTTAGGCACAAAGCCAGTTGGCAATTTGGGGACAGTTACTCTCTCTTGGCCCTAGGAAGAAGACAACGGCAAACCACTTTAAAAACTGCAGGGGGAAGTTGCCAGGAGTCAAAATTGACTTGAAAACACACTTTGTTCTTTGTTACTGCTGTGCTACTGAACATAAAACAGCTGACTGGCACACTGGCAGCAATCTGACTCCATACTTGCAGCTAGCTGCCTTGTTTTAACAACACACACACACACACACACACACACAAACACTTATTGTCTGCACTTAGGACAGATTGCCTCCCTGCCTCCACCCTTGTTCGAATGCCACTGACTTCATTTGAATAGCCTCTTCCTAATTCTTGCCTTTCAGATGCATCAGACTCAACGTAAAAAACACCCTTCAGTTGAGCTCAGCACCTGCTAACTGCATCTTTGTGGTTTTCTTGGCAGGTTTCAGAAAGTGATTTGCCACTGTGACTTCTCAGTCTTGGCGATAGTCCTGGAGTTTCCAGGTACTCACCCAAGTATTAGCTAAAGTTACACCTACTTAGCCTCCAGGATCAGCCTTGTTTGCTTAGATCAAGGGTCAGCAACCCACGGCTCTGGAGCCGCATGTGGCTCTTTCATCCCTCTGCTGTGGCTCCTTGTTGCTGGTCAGCTCCACAATTGATAGAGCTTTCGATTAGGACAGGTAGAGGAAAAAGGATGCCGCACTAGGAGGAGACTCTATGATGGGGGAACTGACTTCCGATCAGCAGAGGAAAAAGGACGCTGCGCTAGGAGGAGACTATGATGTGGGAACTGGACTTCCGGTTAGCTCCAGAATTGAATGGGGGCTCCCGGTTAGGACCTTTGTGGCTCTTTGGGTGTTTAACCCTGGCTTAGATACTACTGTATATTGTACCAGCAAGATGGAGGACGCTGTATTAAAGGAATACTAAATCAAGAATTGTATTTGATCCTATGGCTTCTACTTCTTGCTTATATTAATATAGCCACCACTCCAATTTGCACTCTTGTTACTGATTCTTCATTTGGGGTTTAGTTCCTTCAGGTAACAAAAGTAGATTTAACATACAGGTAGTCCTCATTTAACAACTGCCCCATACAGCAACTGCTCAATTACAGCAGTGATGAAAAAGTAACTCTGCTACTTTTCCTTACATATATAACCTTCAGTGGTCTGTAAAGCAAAGGAAAGCTGAAGTAAGATTGTAAACACAGTTGCGGTATCACTTAGCAACCACTTCACTTAACAAACAAGTTATGAATCTCTTCTAAACGAGATTAGAATTCTAAATGAGATTAGAATTTTAAACGAGATTATTCTGATATCTATCTATCTATCTATCTATCTATCTATCTATCTATCTATCTATCTATCTATCTTGTCACAATTGTGTAAGTCTATCATAATAGAAACTTGGTTTGGGTGAGGTTTCCCCCATGTTTGTGATTTTATAATTATTATGTTAAAAAAAATGAGAACAAGGAGAATTGGATCAGGAATAGACTGATCTGTTTCATCTCAATGTATAGCTTCTGTACCAGATTGTTCACGTTCTACTTTTGAAGGAATAATTTAGGCATCTTTTTAATCTTTCAAGGAAGATTTGCAAAATGTAGAGGTTTCTGTTACGGGTCCTAGGATACGTGTTCATAGTAGGCTAAAGCATGAATTGAGAATCTCCTCTAGAATATACCCAATTTTCCAATGGTGTACAGAGGTTTAGCTATTTTTTGGAGCAGTTTGCCCATCATTGCTGTTCCTCTCTCTAAAGAACATCTCATTAACTTTCATAGGAGCTTAATCTGAACAATCTCCCTTCCATCACAAAGTTCTTAACTTCCACCAGTCTCATAGAGCCTTGGTAGTACAGTGGTCTAAAGCACCCTGTTATTAACACCAGCTGCCTGCAATTACTGCAGGTTCGAATCTCACCAGGCTCAAGGTTGACTCAGCCTTCCATCCTTTCTAAGGTAGGTAAATTGAGGACCCAGTTGTGGGGGCAATAAGCTGACTTTGTATAAATATACAAAAGTATGAAGGCTATTGCTTAATGCATTGTAAGCCGCCCTGAGTCTCCGGAGAAGGGCGGCATATAAACCAAATTTAAAAAAAAAAAAAAGGACAAGAGGCAGACATTTTTAGCCTCTTTGTCCACTTTAATTCTCTACTGCCAACGAAGGCAAGTCCACAAATCTTAAAAAGAGAGTGGGAGGTGGGGGGGAAAAAACCCGAACAGAATATAAGAAATGGATTAATTCTCCAAGGTTTCTCACCCGTGACTTCATCCAGACTCTCTGCTGTGAGATGATCATTCTGATTCACCCATTCTCCATTGCACTTGAAGTAGATCTGGGTGGCTGGATTGGCTCTGCAGGTCAGTTCCACCGGCTTGTTCTTCACTATGTAGGCATCTTGTGGCTCCAAGAGGAAATTGGGGAGGGACTCTGCAGGTGCTGATGGGAAGGAATCTGGCAGCACATCTCCATACTCAATCCCTGTAGGAAGAGAGGAAAAAGAAAAAAAAGTCTTCTAGTTGCTTTTAATAGTAATCTAACTCCATATTCAGCTATTGGTTCACCATTTTAAAGCAGCGTTTCTCAAACTCCACAAATTCAAGCTCAGTGGACTTCAATTCCCAGAATTCCAGCCTGAAGTCCATCCAGGAAGTGGGAAAAAGGCCTCCTGTCAGTCAACAGGAGTGCTGACATACCACCACTTAGGAGCTGAGGACTTGGCAGCCCAAAGAAACAACAGCCAATAGCCAGCCATCAATACACCAATCAACCAATAGGAAGTCACACCCAACTGCTATGCACCACATAAATACAATGCATAGAGTAGCCCAAAGCACACATTCCAGTAGAGAGAAGTTCCCTGATAATGAGCTCCAGCATGAGTTCGAAAGCTCGGAAGACTAGACCTCTGATCCCGGTGAACAACCCAGATTGGATCCTGCAGTAAAAATGGTTTTCTGATTCTTACTATCTCCAGTTTGAAATTTAATATAGTTCATGCCTTTTTGTCTAATTTACACCAAGAACTAGTTCAAAAGTAGTGTTGTGGTCTGCCGGAGGCCTGCGGAGCTGGCAGCAGAGTCGGACAGTGAGGAGGTTGGGGAGGAACATGGGCCAGTCCTGGAGTCTGGGGAAGGCTCGGACGAGGGCTCTGCGTCAGAGGCAGAGAAAGGGCTATCCGGGAAGTACATGCTGCCTTCGGAGCCTCCAGAGTCGGACCTCAGTAAGGCAGAGAAACAGGGGGAGCCTGTTTCCCAATGCACACATGCGCAGAGCTGCCAGAAGGCAAGAACAGTTAAAACCAAAGGGACGACTCAGGAGTAGGGCTTGGAGATGATTGGCCCCTCCCATAAGACTTAAAAGAGGAGCAAAGGCACATGGGCCTTTGCAGGAAGCAACGTTGTTAATTCTGTTCAGTTTAAAGTCTGAAGCTCTGTTTGATTCTGGACTCCGTGTGGCTTTGCCAATTAGGTCTTCGGCAGCGTGTCAAGGGAGATAAAGGTGGGTGATTATCAGCCTTATCCCGAAGGACTCTTTACAACTATTTGGGACTCATCTGTGAATGAACAGAATTCACAGCTGTTGCAATAAAAGAGGTTTTTTGGGACTACTTGTGTGTTTTACTGAATCAGGAAACCTAGGTCAGAATAAGTAGTGGTAAACCAATCTTACATCAAGAAGCAAAAATGAAGGAGAAAGAAGAATTACAATTTTTTATTCATTTTTTTTGCTATCAGCAGACAAACCATACTTTTACTAGACTGAAATCATTTTGGTCGGTCACTTTTTTGGTTTAGACATCAAAACGTAAGTTATGAGTAAAGGCATATCCTTAATAGGTCTGCAAATGGAAAAGTGCTAGAGCCAAACTTTATCAATTTATAAACTTTATAAAGCAAAATTCTTGCTCAGAAATAAATCCAGTAGATCTTAGTAAATCATAGTTACTCAAAGACAGAACTTGATAACATCAAAAGATTTACAGATGGCTTCAGACATTGCTCAGGGTTTTTCTTTTTCCTCCTCTATCAACAGCACGGGAACAAAATCACTCTACTGATATATAAAGCGCTCTGAATATTCTAAAGCACTCGGCAGATGTTAAACATCACTCTGACTCCCAAGTGTGGGTAGACTTTCTGTGCTACAGCTAGGAGATAACAGTGGCATGATAAAGTGAAGTCAGATTGTCAGGTCTTGGAGTCACAGACTATCTAGGATAGGAAGCCTTATCCCCAGCATTGAGTCCTGAAGAGAAAAATATGTTCAGGCCAGAGGTGGGTTGCAGGGATTCAGGAGAACCTCTAGCTAAGATTCTATGCAGTTCGGAGAACTCCCAAATCCTACTCCTGGCTGGCCCCGCCCACCCTGCCCTTCCCCTCCAAGTAGTCCCCACTTGGCCTGTTTTGGATGCAGGTAAGTGCAGGCTGCACATGGAGGCTCGGGGAGGGCAAAAAACCGGTCTATCAGAAGTTTGTGAAGGCCAGAAATGGACACGTTTCTGGCCTCCAGAGGGCCTCCGGAGCCTGGGGAGGCCGTTTTTGCCCTCCTGGAGGCTCGAAAAAAGCCTCCGGAGCCTGGGGAGGGCAAAAATGTCCCCCCCGCTGTGGTGCAGGAGGCCAACTAGGCCATGCCCACCATGACCAACAACTTATTTTCTTTAAAAAAAAATAAATAATGGCCACCATGGTATAAAAGCTTAACACACTTTTATTGCAAGGACTTAGCAAAAACTCTTAGCAGGTCTAGTAAGGCAGGATTACTAGAGCCGCGGTGGCGTAGTGGTTAGAGTGTTAGACTGCCTGCCAGCTGCCTGCAATTTGGCAGTTCGATTCTCACCAGGCTCAAGGTGGACTCAGCCTTCCATCCTTCCGAGGTGGGTAAAATGAGGACCCAGATTGTTGAGGGCAATAGGCTGACTCTGTAAACCGCTTAGAGAGGGCTGTAAAGCAGTGGGAAGTGGTATATAAGTCCAAATGCTATTGCTATTAAAGGCAGCAATAGAACCATATGAAATGATCAGAAAAGCTTGTCACTGCTGGCCACAAATCAGGATAGCTTTTTGGGGGGGAGTCTTTAGGAAGCACAATGGAGCAGACCCAAAGCAACCCGAGATGCCTCCTGAGCAAATCTCTCTCTCTCTCTCTCTCTCTGAAAATGTATACACACCACCATTTAAAATCCATTTAGGAAAATTGACTTTCCATTTCCATTTTAACACAGCACTAGGGAAAGCAGTAGGACATTTGTCATAATCCATTAACTGCTCTTTTGGAAACAGGAAATTAAACTCCAAACTAATCTCTGTGCGTGTGTTTGCGTGCCACGACACATGTACCCCTTCGTTTCCCTGCTCTCTGTTGCTGCCAGGTGTCCCCCCCTCCCCCTTAATTTCATTTTCAGCTCTATAATTTTCTCTCAACCTTACCAATTATACAAGTGAAGGGGGGGGAGCTGGTAATTGAGGTACACAATGCCTTCCTGGTGTGCCCTTGTGAAGCCGCTGCACAACAGCAGCCCAGAGTTGGTAAGAATGGAACGGTAAGAGCAAAAAGCTTAAATCCAGACAAGACAGTCTTATGATGAATGGGCTTTTCTGGAGCTAAATTGAAAATGCTTGCCCAAGATCATTAGGAAGAATAAAATACCCCCTTCAATGTAGGTCCCAGTGCTAATAGAGATAAAGTGGTCATTACTGTTTATTCTTCAAAATGGGCTGCGGTTTGAATAGAAGCAAAATCATCATCATCAGTATTTCATCATCATTATCAACATATCATCATCATCATCATCATCATCATCATCGCAATAGATTTCCCCCCCCCCCATGGTCTTTCAATCTCAATTTGTAAAATTACAGCATCTTGTTATGTTCTCCAGTTGGTTTTCATCAATTCAGATGTCTCCAGAAGTTGCCATATCAGTGACCTTTGCCTCACTCCCCGTAACAGTAAGGGTGGTATATTATGCTCTAAGTGCCTATGAGTTCAAATTCTGAAACAAAACCAAATTTATTATCTCTGCATGCGATCCCAGTAGCTTTTGCTATAGTAGCTGCAGGAAAGCCAACTTTTCTATTAAAACTGGACAATTTTTGCAACTCTATCAGTAAATTTAGTATTATTTGAGCGACTTTATTACCATTCCAGTATACTGATCTACAGTTTCATTCTTGATTTTTTGTTAACTGCTTGGTGGAATGCCAAAAGGATTCACTTAAAATTTAGACGTTTTGAACTCTCCAGACTTAGTGCTATGAATCTTGGAAAAGGTTACTCTAATTGGAACGACATACAGTATATTCGATAGCAACTCCTCCTTGAATCCAAGATCTTCAGCTTGGATCAAAATAAATGAAATAAACATCTGTGATATTAATTTGGTCACACACAGAGAGACACACGCACATACACAGACAAAATCCTTTTAATTTTTTGTTCACTTTATACAGTAACACCTTCCTCTGGGTCAAGGGTTGGCAACTATGGTAACTCTACAATCTGTTGACTTCAACTTTCGGAATTCATAAGCCAGCACAGCTGGCTCATGAATTCTGTGAGTTGAAGTCCACAGGTCATAAAGTTGAAATAGTTGTCCATCCCTGCTCTGGGTAATGTTCTCCTCCAGGTATATATTTAGGAGTATGATATGTGAGGGGCATGGTAGCCAAGCAGTTAAGACGCTGGGCTGGTCAACTGAAAGGTTGGCAGTTCGAGACCCAAGTACCACGTGATATTTCTGTCAACCTAGCAGTTTGAAAAGTATGCAAATGCAAATAGATAAAGAGGTACCACTTCGGTGGGAAGGTAATAGTGTTGGCGAATAGTCATGCTGGCCACATGACCACGGAAACATTTTTAGACCACGTTGGTTCCCTCGGCTAGGAAAAAGAGATAAGCACCATCCCCTAAAATCAGTCATGACCGGGCAGGGGAAACCATTACCGTATTTTTCAGAGTATAAGACGCACCGAAGTATGGTTCCTTGGTTGTGAGCTCTGTGTCTTGCTTTTTTTTTTGCTTTTTTTTCTGCCTCTGAAACTCTGTTTCAGAAAAAACTTTTTTTCCTGCCTCTGAAAGCCTCCGGAACAGAGCTTCAGAAAAAAAGTCTCTGAAGCTGTGTTTGGGGGCTTCTTTTCTGAAGCTTCGTTTCTGATGCTTTTTTCAGCCTCTGAAACCTCCGTTTGAGAAGCCAGGCGGGGCTACATTCGGAGTATAAGACGCACCCAGATTTTGACCCTCTTTTTTGGAGGGGGAAAAGGTGCGTCTTATACTCCAAAAAATACGGTATATTTTTATAATACGTGAACCAAACTCAGGAAAAACTGTGTTTCAATTATTCTTCACAAAATTTTGGGAAAGGTATATGATTTTCTCCCTGACAGGGGTTGCCACTGCTGCAGTCATAGTGACAGAATAGCTATCATCTGGCATTCGAAGTTCACCCTGTGAAATGGAACCCATTACACTGCAGATAGGGAA